TCCTGGATCAACATTTTTACATTTGTAAAATTATTTCTCTAAAAAGTTTCATCCGATTCATGCATATTTTTATTTACAATTTATTTGAACAATGTAAGCTTGTAATGCCCGTTAAACAAAGTTTTGTCAAAAGTAATATATATGCAGCTTAACAGGAGCAAAGAAAATATAACGACATTTTACCTAATGTAGCTATGCAGGTATAGTAGACCTTATTGTCTGTGATCAACACTGCAATATATTCACGACTATCGTCTCTGTTACTGTATAGGCCTAAAAAAAAAAATGTTAAATAACCACAATACATTAAATAGTAAAGTTGTCATTTCTATGTCGGTGAATAAGTTCCACGTTTGGTCCAATACTCAAAAAGATCACTTGAAATTAAAACGCGTTTTTAAATAAAGCCCAGCTAGCCAGGCTTAAAAATAGCAGAAATTATCCAATTAGCTCCACATAATGTTGCGCGAGACTCAGTTAATGACCGCTACCTCGTTAACTGGAAAATCAGACACGTGTCAAAGGACTGCAAATACTGCAACAATACTTCGACTTTTAACATTTCACATGGCTTTTACACTGCGGGGGTTGTTATATTTTCAGCATGCTTACATGTGTAAATATGTCTCAACCCACAGCGGAGTGTCTGTGGGAGAATGTAATGACTTCTTTAGTCCTCCAACGTTAAGTCTGGGTGACAAGGGGACTTCAATTACAACCTCGGAGAGACCTCTGCTTAAATTATTCAGTACGGACAAGGTTCACAGCGATAAACCGACGGGAAAATTAACTCTGGTGTCTGTGTGTGAGTGAGTGTGTGTAAGTGTGTGTCTGCGTGTGAGGGAAGCGGATACACGTCTTGTTTCAGTTATTTGACTAAATCCAATAAATATCGACTGTCTTAATAACACTAAATGTTCAATGAAATTTGAAGAAATCGATGTGTTCAATAAGCTTAGCAGGTGGGTATCACTAACGTTAATTTGTCTGATAATTTCTTTTTATAGTTTCAGCCCCTGTGAAGGCTTCTGAGCATATAGCTGCAGGTGCACTAAACACATAGCATTTTAAACTTATTAACAAAAGTATCAATGCTTAACAATATAAAACAGCATGATATATTCATCAGTTAAAGAAAAATATACAATGTTGCACGAACGTCAAAGATAAAAGACTTGTCCATAAAAATATAAATTAGAATTGACCTCAAATGAAGATGCATGTACTTAAAACACTGTTTATTTATTCCACTCTCAATTTTAATTTACAAATTATGTTACCAATTGACTTAAGCTTCTGTTATATTTATAAGAATAAGGCAGACTTCGTGTGGTAGACATGCTGCGTAAAAATGTAGAATAAATAATACTTGCTGTTAATTAGAGAAAAAACGCTGCAATTACAGACCATTTGAAACATGAGGAAAATCACGGAAAACATAATCAAATTAAAACATGAGACAAAAAAACCGAGATTTATCTGCAGAAAACAAGTGGGTCTAAAGTTAAAGGCTGCACTCACACTGTGCCAACACTCCTAATCCTCAAAACGCACCGAGCGAAAATACGGGTAAAGACCAACACAGAATTTTTGTTTACGGCTGGCTTAGAGAATGTACACTGGAATCTGCCCGTATAAACCGAAAGGGTTTTGTTTTCCTGTGTCGAAATGGGAGCAGAGGACAGCTCCGCGCGCCTCGATGCTGCCGAGGCGGACTGGAGCTCCTCTGATCTGATTGGCTGCCGGCACTGACAGCTCTGCACATGATTGCAGGAGCAGAAGCCCGACCCCTTTCACTCTTGCTAAAGGAACCATTCATAAACTACACAAGTCCAGCTCACAGCTGAGTGTGGACGAAAAGTGAGCACAGAGGAGAGACTAACTGCAAGAGGAGATGAGTCACAGACGATGTTTTTAGCCTTTAGCGTCTGCAGCCCAGGACACGGATGGTGACCCTCCACCCGAATATGACTTTACCTAACGCTGCTGATGAGTTGGACTGATATTTAGCAGGCTAATAGGTTGCATCCCTATCCGTTTCCTCCTCCTCACACTGACGTCCATCCGCTGCTTTCAGCCAAATAACTTTTGATTATACACTTTTTGCTGCACAGGGAAGCGCTTGCCTCTGGCTTTACCGGTAAGCGTTGGATCCTTCAACCTTTTGCGACTCCCCGGTGTACAGCCCGGACCTGTGCCCCAACATGATAGCGACGCAGGCAAAGCTGGTTTACCAGCTCAACAAATACAACAACGAGAGATGCCAAGCTCGCAAAGCGGCCATTGCGAAGACTATAAGGGAGGTTTGTAAAGTGGTGTCGGATGTCCTGAAGGAGGTGGAAGTGCAGGAGCCCCGGTTTATCAGCTCCCTCAGTGAGATAGATGCACGCTTTGAGGGGATGGAGGTCATCTCCCCCAATGAGTTTGAGGTGGTGCTTTACCTCAACCAAATGGGGGTGTTCAACTTCGTGGATGACGGCTCCTTGCCCGGCTGTGCGGTGCTGAAGCTGAGTGATGGCCGTAAAAGGAGCATGTCGCTGTGGGTCGAGTTCATCACCGCCTCGGGCTACCTCTCCGCCAGAAAGATCCGCTCCAGGTTTCAGACTCTGGTGGCGCAGGCCGTGGATAAATGCAGCTACCGCGACGTGGTAAAGATGGTGGCGGACACCAGCGAGGTCAGACTAAGGATCAGGGAGAGGTATGTGGTGCAGATCACCCCCGCGTTCAAGTGCACTGGGATTTGGCCTAGAAGTGCAGCTCAGTGGCCCATGCCCCACATCCCATGGCCCGGTCCTAACCGGGTAGCAGAATGCAAAGCTGAGGGTTTTAATCTCCTCTCCAAAGAGTGCTACTCTTTGACGGGGAAGCAGAGCTCTGCAGAGAGCGACGCCTGGGTTCTGCAGTTCAGCGAGGCCGAGAACAGGCTGCTGATGGCCGGCTGCAGGAAGAAGTGTCTGTCGGTGCTGAAGACTTTGAGGGACCGTCACCTGGAGCTGCCGGGACAGCCGCTACAAAACTACCACATGAAGACCCTGCTGCTGTACGAGTGCGAGAAACACCCGAGAGAGACCGACTGGGACGAGTCCTGCCTCGGAGACCGACTGAACGGCATCCTGCTGCAGCTCATATCCTGCCTGCAATGCCGCAGATGTCCCCACTACTTCTTGCCAAACTTGGACTTGTTTCAGGGAAAGCCTCACTCAGCCCTGGAGGCTGCTGCGAAGCAGGCATGGAGACTAGCGAGGGAAATCCTCACCAATGCTAAAAGTTTGGACAAACTATAAAGTGATTGTCGACACAGAGCCGAGAGACATTTTGGGATAAAACTTAAGACAAGGACAAAGATCATTCTGCAACTGATTCTCCAACCAATGTGAACAAAAAAAATCAGTAAGAAAATAATGCAGCGAGCAAACCACAAAACCATTTTTAAATGGAGCAATTGGGCCACTGCCAGAGACAAAGTGAAGGTACATTTTCAGATAAATGTAATAACTTTTAGTTGTCTTCTTTAAATGTTTTCACAAAGTGAAGAAACTTTTATTTAAATATATGCACAAAATCGTTAAGTGAAAGAATACAATGTAGCGTGCCAAGTTCCATTTTTTCATTATGTGACTTTAAAAAGAAATGTTAATAAAAATGTTGCAAATTAAATTACAACTTGGCCTCGTGTCTTGACGTGTTTTGACAGCTGAGGTGACAGGCGAAGCTGTTGCATTTTATTTTTGCTATTGTCTGGTGAAGAGAGTCATTCAATTATTCATTTTGACGAAAGATAGTTGACGTGTGCTTAACACTCAAGGTTCAAGGTTTTTTATTGTTGTCATACGAACATAGCTACAGTGTAGTTATGCCGATGAAAATCTTAGGTCACAGGCTTCTCCAACAGTGCAACACAACACAGATAAACAGAAAAATACTGGGAAAATAATTGCTTTTGCTAAATTTAAAGAAGGAATGTGCAGCCAGCTTCGGGCCATACGTTATTTTCACAGCGTCTCAGGCTCTAAAGGATTTTCGAATGAATGTAAATCAACGGACTCGTGTTAATATATAGGCCCGGGAGCTTCTCTAAACAGCAGCAGCAGCAGCAGCACGGGGCCTGCAGCAAAACTAAAGCCTTAATCTGATTTATGCGTTATATTTCGGATAACACCGTGTATCATAGGCAATACGACTCCTTTATTGTCATGTTAATATAAATGGATACTCATATAAATATGAAATTGAAATAAATGTAGATGCTTTCAAAATTAAGAACTCTAAAAACAAAACTACACATATTTGCAAAAAAAAATGACAATTTTTACGCACTGTTAAACTGAACAAACACAACCACCTGTGGGTCAGCATTCTTCTTCTGTAGTCAACATGAGGCCAGTGCTGGAACTAAGGACCTGATTTACCCATAGACGTCCTGACTCGTCCACATTTTCTAACCATATTAACTTGCAATTGTACTTTTTTAAATCGTTTTACGAAAAATAAAAATTGCTACACGACGTTTAATAATGGGAAGGCCTGAGCATGTGGCGTTAAGTTTAACCCATAAAGATATTTGGTTAATTTGTTAATTAATTACAAAAAACAGTTTCACTACGAAACAATATGAAATGCTTTCGTTTTGTTGAATTCAGGGTACTTTACAATACATCAAGAAAAAAGACACCGTTGTTTTATATACAATAACAAAAGTAGTGGTAAGAGAAAAAAAATCATGCAAATGTTCACAATTTTAATTCAAATAAGTCACGTTCTAACTTCAACAACCGATGGATATAACATTGTTGTTCTTCTTCACAATTAAAAATGTTAAGATAAAGTTGGAAACGCATAACAAAAACCTTTAATGCTCTATAAAAAAAAAACACACACACTTGTAGTCATAGAGCTATAACTCATGTATTCACCAGCCTGCATGAAGCATTTACCGGCACATAGGACATGGCTTCAATACGTTGACAATATGAGACGTGAATGGAGCTCGGGTCTCTTACCTTTGGATCGATGGCCTTGAAGCTCGGATCGTCTTCGTCCACCTCGAAGTAGAGCTCGGAGGGGGTGATGGACAGGGTGCCTTTCACCACCACAGCCGGAGCCACCAGCTGGGCACTGGTGCTCAGGTTTACCGGGCCTGCAGGACACACAGGCCGGTCAGAGAAACACGCAAAGAGTCCTCCTCTCCGAGTGGGCACATACGGTTGTTTTACGCAGTAAGGGTAAACATTTAAACTCAATAAGGGATCGCAGAGCTGCTGGCTGTACAACGATAATAGTTAGAAACCGTGTGAGCCTTCTATCCTGGACGTGGGTAATCTTTTAAGAAAACATGATAAGTGAAGAAACAACAAGCAATAAACAGCCATGTTCTTTTAAAAGTTGAGACTGTTTCACGCAAGAACTACGTTTATATTAAAATATTTTGCATAGGAGTTGCAGGATGTTTACATAGCGAGGCTAAAGGGTACTTCAAACACCGTGTGTAGTTTACAAACAGCATTCTGCAATTATTCGATGAGTTAAAAATCACAACAAAAGCCCAATATGGATACTGTTTAATATACTCGACAGTTCCCGAAATAAAATATCACAGGCCTTAGTATCCTAAAACTCACAATGAATTACATGATAAAGATTGTCAAAGTTAGCGAAATAATTGTCAATTGTCAGTCACATTGCAGTGATTGCGGGCTGCTGGGTGAATCTCTGTTTAATCTCTCATCAATCTTAATTTATGCTAGTATGACAATGCGCCTCGGCTCAGGGGAGCAGTGAGTCTGCGGCTCCACATATGAGCCATTGTATCTGCAGATGCGCTGCGAAGAGAGGAGGCTCGCAGCCCGGCCTGATTTCCCTGAGCACCCGCACACTCCGGATGGAATAAACACACACAGATATATATTCACTCCTCGGGTCTCTCGCGAACCCCGAGAGAACTGACATGTTATCCGTGGGTTGAAATAACATTTTTTTGTTCCATTCAGTCAAAGACATTCAATTACACCTGAAGCAGACAGCTGCTTAAGAGGAGAAGCTGAACCTCTCCCTATACGATCCCCACTCTCTCGCAGTATACACATCACTTTATTAGACAGGATTCAACGTTTAATCCTATTGTCCTCCAGTTGCGTTATTTTAATAGCTCTCTGAGCCCCATTAAAGCAGCTAAATCTGGTGAGCGCTGTCACTGCACATACAAAATGCGGATTACAGTGCAATCCGATTAGCGGACTATATTATATTTAATTAATATTCTTTAAATAGCAGACAGATCAAAAGCAACAATGGACTGACATCATCGTGAGCTGGATTAAATATAATATAAGGCTGTATTCGAGTCATTTAATGAGTTTAAAAGGCTCATGGGAAGGTTTTATTGGGCAATGCAGCTTTTTCTTGATCAGATAATGTCCAATTCCAGGGTAAGCATTATCCTGGGATAAACTCAGCTACTGCAGGATAAAACATTTTTTAGAGAGGTGCTACTCAGGCCTGTGTGTATATATGTTTGTGAAGCACACCTCCAGTGGCACACATAAAACGAGAGTACTGTGTTTTCATCAACACATAGTGGTGCTATAATAAAACAGTTTTCCAGAGGCACTGCCGGCTAAGGCTTTCTTTAAAAGACGGTTTTCCCTAAGTAAGGAGGAGTCTGCAATGCTACAAGTATATAAAAAAGGCTACTATGATATGAAAAGTGATATTTAACACATTATTCAGTACAGCTAAACAGTGGAGCTGCATGTGTTGGATATTAAGCAATTTGAAAATGACAGCATGCTTCTTTATTTTGTCTGGGCTGCAGGGAGGGGTGAGAAATAGGGAGAGGTGAAGAAGATGAGCTGTTACTTTACCTGTAAAGTTCTCCAGGTCCTTCTCCTCTGGAGATGACAGAGTGTCATCGTCTCCGTCGAGTGACGTCTCACTCTCAGAGTTTTGATTTCCCAGAGCCTGACTTCTGATGGACTGCTTTCCTTTGAGAATATCTTCCTCGGATGCTGCAGTGGGGAAAGGCTTCTATTTTTATTTTGTCTTAATGCATGTTATATAGAGTGTTCAATATATTTCAAATTATGTTGTAGGTCTAGAAAAACATGTTAACTTTATTTTAGTGCAGATTTGATGGCTTGCATATTTCAATTATCACATTTGAGCAGAATTAGTTTTTAACTAAAACCAAGCGCCCAACTAAGACATCTTCTCTGCATAAAAAAAATTATACAAACAGCAAACAATGAGTGGAAATGTCAATTAAATTGTGAATTAAAAAGCAGTTTTGCTCTAATACGAGCTATCAGCTCTATTTATTTTATTTATCTGCTGCCCTTTTTTAAACTTCAGCTAGGCTACGAGTGTGTAGTGTTAAATAAAAAGAAGACTGTCCATTCAAATCATTATTATCATAATATTAACAAAGCTATATTCTCAGAATTGCTTTAATTTACACACAATAAAATGCACATTGATTTGAGTAAAGTATTTTAGGTTAGGAACTTTGTAACACATTATCTTGGAATATTATTCTTGTCAGGTAGTAAAACTATTTGCAAAGTCCATCAGCACTGCTTTTAAACCTACATCAGTGAGGAGCAATGTTGACCTGTGTTGCATTGCCAGATTTGCAGATATACGTGCAAGCAGACAAACTGAAAACGAGGCACACAAAAGTCTAACATAATCCTAACATTGAATGCATTTTGCCATTAGAAAGCATCCAATCAGACACCATTTTACAAATTGTTAGTCAAAATCAATTTTTCTTAAACAAAGGTCGCACACTTCCAATTTTGAGTTCAACTCAACGTGACTTGAGGTTCCAACTGGATTATTTAAGAAAAATGGCAATCTGCAAACATTTACGGAGCCTTGCATTCCCCAGAGGTGCATGGTAAGGATCCACAGACACAAGTCCACAGCACAGCTCTCTGTAAACATAGCTGGCAATATAAAGAGCGCTTTCGCTGCCTCTGTGCAGGTTTCTAATGCAGCATACTGCTAAAAACACAGTTTAAATCATCCGGTGAGACGCTAAACATAAAACTAATACCTAGTGGATTTTTTTAATCATCACCTGAGGGGAGATCAATTGCACTGCCTGGAAATGCACACTCGTGTCATGTGGCTATATACGTTGAAACTACCAGCCAGGATAAAAAATCTCTTGTCATGGAAAATATGCAGCTCGTGATATTTAGAATGGTCTTCCTGTAATTAAGCCTCCCTGGAGGATTCTTTAGTTAGCAGCACCGAAATTACTACCAGCTCCTCTAATACGTACCACATGCCATTGTATTCACACCAGGCAAGTGGACAGGGGACTTATCATGAGCTTAAAAGACGGACATGTTTGAACTTCTTTGCATTTCACTGTAAACATGCTCAGTAATTCTCACCCCAATTTGCAAGTAGTGTACATCTAACATCAGTATCACACATTAGAAAAACAGTCTGTTGTAACTAAACCTCGTAATTGTCTGGTCAATGCTCCTTCTAAAGTACAAGTTAAAAATAGTTCCTCAGTATACACTGAAGGAAGTGCAACCAAAATATCGACCAGTCAGCTTGTTGTTGGGCTGAGTCTTTGAGAACAGCAAGAAAAAAGCTATTTTCACCAGAGTTATGACACACATAAAATAAATAAGCTCATAAGTGACAGGCTACGTGCTAACTTCTCACTCGTTCATGCATACTGTTTATTTTTATTCTTCTTGTAGTTTGACAACTGAGGATTTTGACAGTTTTGTACGTTTTCTATGTGTGCGTGCGTGCGTGTGTTTCAAGGGAATGTCCTAATTTTAGAGTTATCGTTTGGTTTTAACCGTGGGTCTTCAGTGCCACTGCAGGGGAGCTGCTAAATTATTGTCCGATAATGTTGTTTAAGATGTGTCTGAAAATACACATTGAGTAACATGAATCAAACATATTAGAAAAACTCAAAATGTCTATGCGTAAAAAAGGACAAAAACAATCCATTTACTCTTAAACAACATTTTTGTATAGTCTCACGTTTACCCATGGATCTTTGGGCAATGACATGAGCAAGCTGGCCTGTGCTAAATCCCTGTGGCACTTATTTAAAGAATCGAACCAGTTAGCTAGAGCTAGGTATTATTATTTTAATAGTTTAGTGGTATTTCTACACATGACACTTAAAGATGCCGTACATGGTATTGTAACCCTCTTTCATATGCAACTCAATTTTATACCTATACAGCGCGGGGGTCCCTGTTCCTTCTCTCTTTTAGCTAAGGGCTCTTTGGTCTTAAAGACGTTGAAGACCCCTGATATAAGCAAACAAAGTGTGTGTGTCTATTTGTGTGTGTGTGTGTGTAACATAAGGAATTACAATTAAATGCTATACATTTTACTAATATCTATGGCAGTGAAAACAATAAATAGAGGGAAACTCAGAACAGTTACTCACGGTTTAAAACGTCATTTAAATGAAAGCACTATTTAAAAAGATTATCATGATAAACAATCCATGCAAAGAACAGGCGTGCCACATTAACAGAAATCCGGCAGTGCACTTCAACCTCATCACTCAACACGCAGGGAACACAAACGTGCATAAATCCCAACAGGTTACACTTTTTTCCTAGACCCCATTTCCCGACTGAGAGGTTCAACTACCTGCTTATACAACTCAAGGCATGCATGGTCGCAGCAATTAAATTGTCAAAATTAACAAATTTGTTTTTAACGGGAGCGTAGCCAGGAGTGTGGTCACGAGGCGAGTATTGATTACCAGAACAGAGACATTAGTCTTCAGGTATTTACTCTGCCACCTCTGGTACACGGGCCCTGGACCAGACCAAATCAATCCCCAGAAAAGATGGTTCTTTCCAGGCAAATACAGAACAGCCTACTCAAACCTACTGGCAGCCACACACTCTCCTGTGGAAATCATCTTGGCGCAGTATGAATGATAACAGTTGTCCTACTATTAATGCAGAAATTCACATTTTCCTCCATGTCTAAATGAAAAGATGTACATTTCCCCCTTCTAAAAAAAAAAGAGGAGAAAATACCACGTTGTCACAATAGATCACCCAGTATAAAATGCTAAATATTTTCCATTGCTTCTAATTTTATAATCAAGCGTGAGATTTCAGAAGTGCAGCCACAAGTAGCTAGAAAACAAGAGTAAATTCAGGCTTGATCTCATACTAAATATTTTCTTAGGGGGTTAGACTGCATTCTCCCCTCTGCATCTGATGAATATAATTACAGCCAGATATGACCTTTGTGCTCGGTTTGAAAACTCAGCCCTGCATTCTCATCTTGAGCTGCACTTCCGTAACAAATGTCGGGTCGACTAAAACAAGACGAAAGGTTACATCAGAAAATGGATGCCGTCAGGCTTCAATGTCAAAGAGTTATTTTAATGATATATTCCCATACTTCAGCCCGGCAGTATACTCTCTTGAGGTAGCATACCCTTGCCACAACTGGCTGCTGGCTATTTTAGCACAGACTTCACTTTGAAAGCAAATGTTTGCAGGAATTTGTCTTTCTTCCCCCGGTGAAAAAAAGCACATAAGCTGAAACCGTTTTGAATAAAATTAAATACCAGACAAAACACCTGAATGACGAACTCACAGAAAGCTTTTAACACATTTTCATCAGCCAGAAGAAGTCAATAAGAGGGTAAAAAGTGATGTGTCTGTTTTCTGTCATGAACTAACTGAAGGGAAAACCAGGAGGAATTAAGATGGAAACAAAGTACATTTCAGAGGCTAGCTGCAGAAGAACAGCGAGCAGCTGGCTGCGTCTCCAGCTGCCTCCACACTGCAGCCATTACTGCAGAGCACAACTCTCCCAGGATCCCCCACACTTATTGCTTTAATATCACATTTGTATTGACTTCTGTCACACCTGCTGTTTGTCTTTTGGAATGATGTCACATTTAGGGGGACTTTAACAGGTGACACATGGAGGACATTTTGGTCCAGAAATGGCCATTTATTTGAGGGAATCAAATATTGATCTGGTAAATGTAGACCCAGCATGATGATGATTGCAAACCCTGATGTGTGTAGAATCATTATATTTGCAGATATCAGGGATTACATGCACTCTTGGAGAGAAATGCGACTCCTACTGCTAATGCAGGGACATGTGTCATTTAGATTTTGTGGGTATAAGGGACTCCTGGGAATGTTAAATTGTTCTCAGACGAGGTTTATTGGAAATCAGCACCTGTCTTTATAGGAGAGTGCACAGAAACAATGAGAAATTGATCGGTCCTATTTAAATTCTGGAGGAAAAAGTAATCAATGTGGTCAATTTACTACGGGAATATTGACAGAGTTTTTTCAAACCAGATTACATGTTCTCACATCTTAAGGGGCTGCAAGTACAATGTGGACTCTTTTTCAAATAAAAGCTTTGGTAGACATCACTTTGCGCTTCACAAGTTAAATAGTTAATCTGAAGGAGTAATACAACTCATGACATTACATTTAAAAATGTTATACACAACCCATATGATTTTGACTATGATAAGGAACATATTTTAACCTCTGATCAATCACAAAATCATGCTAGTAAATGCATAACAAGCATACATCCCCAAATGACCTGTTGTTCCAATGCAAAAACATGAATAATAAAGAAAAATGACATACAAGTAAAGGAGGAAGTATGAATGCTACTTACCACTGATATCAGCCACTGTTATGCAGCAGAAAAAAAGAATGTACAAATGTCACGTTTCATCTCAATTGACTAAGCATGTTGACACACAGGGTGATTATTAGCCCAGCTTTGCATAATGGGAAGCAGAGTGTCAAATTACCTTTGTGAAATGTAAATGAGAGTACTATTTTACTGTGTCTTGTGGTACAATAAATATTTTATTGCTACGGGACGACTAACTTTTATTACCTTGTACCTGGTGCTACCACTAAGCGTGTGAGAAAAGGGAGTGCAGACAACAGGAGGGGATTGGTGGAGGGGACTGACCGTGTTCGCCCGCTGCTTTGAGCGTAGCCTCTGAGTGAGTGGATCCGGAGGGGTTCTTGATGAAGCGACGTCGCCGCCTTAAATCGTCCTCCCAGTAGTCCAGGCGCCAGAACTCCCTCGGCCGGCTGCAGCGAGACAGAGGTAGCACATGTGTTAGCAATTACCAGCCAGCATGGTATAGCAGCCCAGCATTAGCACTCAGTCCGAGCAAGCAGACATAAAGACAGCATTGTGTTTGGGCCTTTTTTTTTTTAACCCTCAGAATGACTCTTTAAAAACATTCACTTAAGACAAGTTTAGACCCCAAATCATTGTACTTGACAATGACAGTATCTCCATGTCAGAGGATAAGGTGTTCCCTTTCATTGTTTTGTTTTTCCTCCTCTCTTTGAGAAGGTGAAGTGCACTAGGTACATCACAGTGGAATGAGCAAATGTCAGCGTGATCATTTTCCACACACACTTTTGTGGCACGTGCTTCCATTCCAGGGCTCATTTCAAGCCCAGCAGGATGCCTCTTGTCAGGACTCATGGCTCGCAGGATAAGGAGAAGGCCATTACAAACATGGAGGGGGGAGGGGGGGGGGGGGATAGCATTACCAATATTAATCAATGTCTACAGCAGACATTTTTCTTTTGCAATTTACATCTCCCTTTACCGGGCCCGGTCAGTAAATCATTCTGCTCAAGGAAAATAAAGTGTTCACTTTAAATGAGGAGACACTGCTACAGCATTGTGCATGTATACTGTGTCTATATAACATATCACTTTTATTTTTGAAAGTTATTTAATTAAAATGTAATCTAAAGTATTCATTGCCCATGGCTTAGAGGCAAAACAAGGTTTAAGATGATGATTTTTTTCTAATTACATGAGCAATTGTTTATTTTCCAGTTTAATAGGTTGTTAATTTAAATGACTTTTAAGCCCAAAGCAGAGCTGTTTGCGTGTCATTAGGCGGCTCTAAAATTCACTTTTCATGCGTTAATGATTAACAACTCAGGTGGGGAGGGAAAACAACATGCACTCGGGTCTTCAGTGAGAGTAAATCCTGACTGTCTGACTCAAGTCAAACAGTCATTTTACTTGGACTAAATGTTCTCACGAGAAAAGCAAAGGAAAAAAAAGAACATCCTAGTATAGGCCTATCCTGGAGTTAGTTTTGTTCGTTTTTCTTCAAGGTTACACGTGTCTTAAAACATTGTGCAACAATTTACCAAGCTTTCGTGAAATACTGTAAATCTCTTTAATTCTGCGGGGAAGAGTAAAAATGAGGACAGGACTGAAAATAGGACACGCCGGATCTATGACAAATACAGTATAATTAGATATGTGGTAACTATAAACCAGGTAGGTCGTTTTCTTTACCCTTTTATATAAGACAAAAGCAGCAAAAAGGCAAACAATCTAAACAAATGTTGAAAGACGAAATACCAAGGTTTATCCAATACAACATATTTCTAAACCAATAAAAACAAAACCATCAGTAGTTTCCTATAAGTGGCTGCAGTGTGTCCTGTGAAGGTGTAGGAAGACACAGTTTATGGTTTCAGTGGAATAAGCTATGACGGGAGAACCCCAGCGTGCTTTATGTGATCTACTCTCCAACGCTGCTCTGGCCGGGGGCTCCTCACAAATCTTCAGGCCAACACACCAATGATCACACAGGGGCCTCTAAAAGGGAAAGGAGCTTTACGCAAGAAAATAAATACAATTTCCAAACGGGTACTTAAAAGCCCCCGTTTGCCCTGGCTAATGAAAACCATTGATTATTTGATTTATCTGGACAAAAAAAAATCTCAAAAGGAAGGATGACAAGCGATGAGTGGCTGCTCCTCATATCTTAAGTCTGGATGTAAATGTAGTTCATAAAAGTCAGCCATAAGCTACCATAGGAGGAGATGATTGAGAAGTGTATAAAATGGCATAAATGGGAATGTAAATTGCGTTATTTCCAGAATAGTGAATCAAGAGTGTGTGTTAATGCAAGTTGGAACGACACAAGGCGCGCAGGTCTGTGCGGGTGTAGATTTCTCGCCAGTGACAAAGACCCCGCTCCATGTTTGCCTCTGATAGTCTCTGAACGCAAATGACCACTTCATCATCCTGCCTGCAATGGTATTCATCTATGAAAATAATTATCAAGGTTGTGCATGCCGCACAGCTCCGAATCAGGACGCACTCGTCTCTCATCTCACTGAAGAGGGGGGTCTGTCTGATTCACACAATACACATTAATCCATCAGGAGGCGAGTAATTAGTCAAAGCATGGGGGGGACCACCTCTGCCAGTCATATTCACCCAGCGCTCCATGAACAGGCGACAATGGGAGTCCTAATGATGGGGTGCGAGAAGAGGTGGACGCACGATGAAGGATACCTCGTCATCAATCCCCAACGAGAGTGCCGCCGTAACAAGAATGGAGATGTACGGCGCTATGCAACCCCCATACCGCACGCTGAGTGTGTTTCCACAAAGATGATAAATTATTCAGCGCTCATCCATCCTCCTAGGGCATCCATGGCACAATTTACTGAAGCGCCATTCTTCAAAATAACAACAATTAAAATAACAAAGGGCCAGCGTTGTGCTGCGGCTCAGGCCAACCACTTGTGTAATTAGTAATTAGTTCGGTCATAAAAGGTGTCCGGAAGAGCGGCGCCTTGTCTGATGATGAAAGGGGAGGGAGATGATTTGACAGAGAGAGTATCTTTTCTTAAAATCTGGGCAAAACATAGAAATATAACACTGCAAGCCGTACATGAGAAGGCTCTGAGTGTGTGTGTACTACAGAGAATTTGTTGCCTTTTTAATGTAGACCACATTGGCTACTGAAACAGAGTCCGGAAGAGTTTTATGTGAAGTAGTAAATAGTAATTACCTTTTTTTCTTTTCCTTTTTTTAGACATCTTTTGGATGCTCTTCAGGGCTTTGGAGTTGTAAATTAAAGGAAGTTTACCAACACAGAGGATGAATGGGGAAGCTCAAGTTTCTCCTTTTATGTGCCACTGAAAGTCTTTCTCCCGAATCAGTTAACAAAACAGTTATGGCTTCAGATAATAAACTTACCAAAAACATCAACACACTGCTAGGAGATACTTTACTTGTGGGTTTCTTAAGATTCAAATCGTGCTACTAAATTGTCCATTTACATCTAAACAGAGAAGGCATCCAAAAAGATCTGGCATGGCTGGGTGACACGTGAAACAAATGGTTTGGTTGTGAGGAGTGTTCAGAAGGAAAGCTTGTTTAGGATTGTGAAAATACTTTACAGAAATTAGAAAGTGGAGGGCCAAGTGAACCACGTTATCAATGTCCTTAAATATAAACTACGGCCTGACCCATGGGTGCTGTTTATCCAAATAACAAGGAAGAAGCACATTTCTTTAGCTTGCGCCAATGCCAGAATGTAAGCTGATGACTAAACTCCCTTTATTTGAACATAACAAGTGTTTTTTAAAGCACATCAACGTCTGTAATAGAGATAGAATAAACGATAGTTGTTACCAATTCAACCAAATGCAATCAAATTATCAAAATATAAATACTTTTTTTTGTTTTAATACATACATGTTATTCAAGACTCTTAAATGTGTTCTATCCTTTGTTGTCTTGGCTGTTACCGTTTCCCGCTGCACCATCCCAATTTCCCTCGGGGGGTATTATAGTTTAATCTTACCCTAAATAAAATAATAATGTGGCATTAAGAAACCCCTAAAATGAACAATCCCAAGTCCCCTCTTATAATCATCATATATTAATGGGATTATCAAACGGCCAGTTCTCGGAGCAGGTCCTGAAAGTTTGATAGCACGGCTATTTCTATGGCGCGATTGTTCGTTTGCTGACGAGGACAAATGACTGCCATCCATCAAGATTCAATCGGACGGTTGTTTCAGAGACAGATGAATCCCAGCTTTTTCCCCCATTTCCAGCTTTTTAAAATTATCTTTAGTTGTTTTTAAATGCAACTTGAAACTCATATTAGAATCCAATTTCCTTCCAGACTATTTTATATTATTTAATTCAAATTCAGATATCTCAAAAAGGTTGAATGTATCAGGGGCGTATATGGAGAGCAAAAGAAAACATCCCCTTTTTCTTGCAATGGTTTATTTCCAAAGCATTTGCTATTATGTAAATGATAGCATGACCTTTATCATAGCAAGCAGGACATGCAGAGTGAATATGCTTTCATATATCACTACAAGCGACTGCACTTTGGCACAAACAGTCATTCATAACCTTTCTGCTAAATTAATTTGGGTACAGTCAATGAGACCTGCATATGTAGAAGAGATTTCTCTCCTGGCTTATTTTTATATTAATGCCAGTTCCCATTGGCAGCCTTCAAATTGCTCAAACATTGCCGCTATTCCCAAGATCATTTTGCTTTGATTTGCATAAACCATGTGTTTAGAAGAAACGGGAGGGCAGGAATAGATTGAGGATTTGTCATGTGGAGGACTGGTTGCTTGAGCGCCGGCTCTTTGTCAAACGGTGGCAGCGATCACATCCATGGTATCTCCAGACTCAAATTAAAATGAAACAGGACCAAATACCTTCCCACTGAAATCGTTTGGCATGATTAAGTCTTGCCGAAGTGATTTTCTACATGTGCATTAATGCTTATCCTTCCCACTCCAATGAGGTTTACCATCTACATGTGTGTATGTTAATTCACCTCAGCTAATGTTGTTTACAACATTTACCAGAGGTGATGTTAGGGTCACAGACCCAGCACCATTACCATCTTATCCTCTTAAATGACAGTCCACATGTAATATTGCCCCTCCTTATTATTAATCATAGCATGAAGCCATTTAATTTGTCTATTTTTTTTAATATGAATTTAAATATCATGATCCAACACCCCACCATGTCTGTGATTAAGTGCATGTGAAAACAGATTTAAGAAGAGAAAATGAAAGCTAAAAAACGAAATCCTACATGCGAGCCAAGTAATGGAGCCACAGTGAAACAAAGTATGTACAGCCTTTGCTTTCATCACACTGTTGTCAGCTCCCTTTTCACTGAATCTGTTGCTAACACACAAGAGTGCACACACTCTCATTACCCAGACAACATGAGCACCTACCACTCCTCCCAATTAACTCCAATTTAT